TTGGTTTTTGCTGAGATGTTTGAAGCAAAGGGTATAGTATCTGAGTTGTCAAAGCTTAAAGTTTTGAAGTTTATGCTGGATTTTGTTCCTAGTGCATGAAGATGAATTAGTCTTAGATGTTTTATTTTCAAAAGAGAAGAAGTTGATAGCAAACTTATAGCTCTTGTCGAAGAATGTGGTTTCGAGGCAATCTATTCTTTCTTCTTTCCTCTTTATGGATTTGTTTCTCCTGTAGTTCTCTATAATGGTTTTGCTTCCAGTTTCCAGAGAACATAAAAGTTCTTGGGCGATTTTTCTTGCTAGTAGCTGTCCTGAAATAGTGTAACTTATAGCTACGATGTTTTTTTTTTTTTTTTTTCTTGAAGAAGTGAATTAGAACTTACTTGTCTCGTAGATCTTTCAAGCAAGCCTTTATCATTTGTAAAGCTTAGGTACCTTCTTAAGATTTTTTCTTTTCGAGCTTGTTTGGTTTGGACTAGTGTATTTTGTTTCAATTTATTCTTCTGACATGTTGGTAAGCTGTTATAATTTTTCATTGCATTCGATGAAAATTCTGCTTAAAAGAAAAGGTTAGTATTCAGCATTATGTTTGAGAGGCTTTAGTTGCTGCTATGTTTGTGTACATTGTTGCCTCACACCATTGACTTCAAACCACAAGGAGCTAACTCATGGTAGCTTTATGAGATCCGTAAATACTTTTTTAAGTTGAATTTACTTTGCTGGATTACTTGAATGCTATCCAGTTACTCTCTTCATTTTTGTTCTATCTGGTTCAGGTAGTTGATAATGCTTTGTAGAAAGTGTATAATTTGTTCTCATATCCTAAGAAAGTTGATAAAAATGGGACAAGTATTTTGTTTTGGACCATAAATAGAGTACATATTTCATAATCTTACCGGTAATTTGCTAAAAAGTACTCATTTTTGTGATATGCTCACAGTTATTCTGGTGAATGATCTCTCAAAACTGATACTATAGATCATTAGTACCGCAATTTGTCACTTTCCCATAAAATTCTTAATTTCTATGTTGTTTTTAATTATTGTTCTTTAGGTGACTCTGATTGGTTACAACCACAAATTAAGGATTCTATTGGAAACTATAGTTGAAAAAATTGCAAACTTCAGTGTGAAACCTGATAGGTTTCTCGTCATCAAGGTATTGTCATTCATTTGCATAAGTTTCTAAGCATAGAAATCTTATCATCTTAATTAATTAGAGTTGGAACTTGAATAATAACTATCAAGTATTGAAATATTTAAATTTCAGTAGATAGAAAAAGACTAGTAATAATACGGTATGGCAAGTGATTGCATCATTCAGTCAAGGATTTTAGAACACAACCAATAATATTATACTTTTTCATTCATTCAATCAATAAAATATTCAATTTTTCTTTATTTAAAAGAATACGTACAGAAGTGAATATTTAAATACCTCAACTACAAAGGAGAAAAAATTGAGTCACCAAATTTAGGGGGTGCATTTGTTCAAGAAGTGTCTTATCTAACATTCGATCTTTCTATTAGGAAACTGTGTTAAAGGAGTACCAAAATTTTAAGTTTCAGAAGCCATATCAGCAGGCTTTGTACTATTGTTCGTTAATACTTCAAGATCACACATGGCCATTAATGGAGGAACTTGCAATCCTTCCACATTTGGGGGCAGAAGATCTAGTTAAATTTGCTCCCACTTTGCTCTCAAGTGCCTACTTGGAATGTTATATTGCAGGTCTGTATCATTTTCTCTTTCGTCTTGACTATCTTACGGATCACAAGCTTTTGGCTTTAATGGTTAATTACTCAGGAAACATTGAAAGGAACGAATCCGAAACAATGATTGAACACATTGAAGATATGTTCTTCAAGGGGACAAATCCAATATCACGACCATTATATCCATCACAGCATCCAACCAATAGAGTTGTGAAGCTTGAGAGGGGCATTGGTTATTTCTATTCAGCAGAGGGTCTCAATCCAAACGATGAAAATTCCGCTCTTGTCCACTATATTCAGGTTATAAACTAATTCACTTCTTTGCCTTCAATATGAATATTTTTCTTTCGTATTTTCTGTGCTTTACTTTCCTCTTTTGTGTGTAAGTAAGGAAACTAATTCACTACAGTGAAAAATGATAAATTAAAAAGTATAGGTATAATGTTGATATTACAGTGTATGCATAAGAAAAGAAAGGAACTCACTCCGTTACTCGACGGAATTCCTCCTTAACTCTTCTTTGGTTTAAGGTTTGATGCAATTTTCTAAACACTCTTTCTTAAATATTTAGGTGCATCGAGATGATTTCCTACAGAATGTGAAGCTTCAGCTTTTTGCTCTTGTGGCAAAACAAGCAGCTTTTCATCAGCTTAGAACTGTTGAACAGCTTGGCTATATTACTGTTCTAATGCAAAGGTTAGAACATTTTGTAACTCACCTTTATTGAAATATTTACCGTGTAATTAATTTATCTTCAAATACAGGAACGACTTTGGTATACGTGGAGTTCAATTTGTTATTCAATCCACTGTCAAGGTAAGTACCATTATCTCATCTGCTACTGTATCCTTGACATGGCATGAATATTATCCTTATTTTGATGTGGCAGGGTCCTCGAAATATTGATTTGAGAGTAGAATCGTTCCTAGAGATGTTTGAGAAGAAGCTCGTCGATATGACCATTGAAGAATTCAAGGTGAGAGCAGTAATTGCACTGTATTAGTTCTATAACTCATATGATATATGCAGTGTTAAGTTACCATTTGTATGTGACGTCTTAACAATGTGGTGGCCCCATGATTTCTGACAAAATAAACTTTTTTAGGAAAAATGATCTTTTTTTCCCTTTAAATTTGGTGGACAGTTTATTCTTAAGTGTCAAAATCTTAGGTTCTTAAATTTCAAAATCTAGCACTTTTGTCCGTTAGGCTTAGAAATACTAAAATTAGGTCCTCGAAGTTTGATTTCCGTTAGTTAACTGAAAGCAATGATGGGTTATATTTTATTATTAAAATTATTGGCGTGACAAATTTAATAATAAAAAGTGTTAAATTACAAGTTTAGCTCATGAAATTTGCCTGGTTCGGATACAAACCTCATCGTGACTGCAAGCCACAAATGCTCTAAGTCCTGTTCGGATACACATGCTTTATACTTAATCGTCCTGTTATGGATGGTGGTTGTGCAGAGCAATGTAAATGCTCTAGTAGATATGAAGCTTGAGAAATTCAAGAACTTGAGGGAGGAATCTGGATTTTACTGGCGAGAGATTGCTGACGGGACAATGAAATTCGACAGGAGAGAATCAGAGGTATGATATCAAATTACTATGCTACAGTTTTTCATACAATGTTTCGGGGCATGATATGCACTGTTGGCTATTACCGTTGGTTTTAACCAGGTTGCGGCATTAAAGACACTCACACATCAGGATTTGATCAACTTCTTCAATGAACATATAAAAGTTGGTGCACCTCGTAAGAGGTCTTTAAGTGTTCGGGTTTACGGAAACCTTCACTCCTCAGAGTATTCTGCAGATCTAGATCAACCACTTCAACCCGACACAGTAAAAATAGATGATATTTTCAGCTTCAGAAGATCACAGCCACTTTATGGTTCCTTCAAGGGAGCGTTTGGTAATGTGAAGTTGTAGGTAATGGCTTCAAACTCCCTTGTCTCAAGCATTTTCATATAGGATTTTCTCAACTCAGCTCTTAACAAGTGAGGCATTGAATGTGAGTTATCTAGTGAATGAGCTGAATCAGCAGCAGATCTGTGCAGCAAATTTGATTTGTTGCGAAGTGAAGATGCTCTGAATCCTCCAAGTGGCCTTCTGTGTTAGCCAATTAAAGAACCGCTCAAACAAGCCCTTGCATTTGGTACTTATTATTATAGTTCTCATTCGCCCTTGAATAATGTGACAATTTTGTGCTCCATTTACTAACCCTCCTGTGGGTGACATCATAATTCTTTACTGTTTCAACTATATTCCATGGTCTAATTTTTTGTGCATCTGCATGTTCATGTTTGCTTCTTTTATTCAAGTCAAGTGTGGGGTTATTGCTTTGCTTAGTGAACAACCTTAATTTTATATAATGTATTATTTTCTTTTCTTTTCTCATAGTAGAGTGATTGATGAATGAATTCGAGTGGAATCTTTTTAAGTCAGTCGACTTGTTTGTTACGGCCTAATCTCATCACTAGTAGATATTGTCCTTTTTAGGTCTTTTCTTTCGGGCTTTTGCTCAAGGTTTTTAGAACGCATATGTTAGGGAAAGGTTTACACCACTTGTTTCGTTCTCCTCCCCAAGTGAGATCCCATATCGGTTGGGGAGGAGAACGAAGTTTTATAAGGGTGTGGAAACTTCTCCCTAACAAATGCATTTTAAAAATCTGGAGGGGAAGTTCGAAAGAGAAAACCCAAAAAGAACAATATCTGGTACCGATGGACTTGAACAATTACACAAATTATCTTCCTTCTTGATCTTCAGTGCCCTGTTTCAGTGCCTTGTTGGTCGGCCAGTGCTACCACCACCACTTCAAGCTCCCTGCTTAAATGTGACTTGTGGTGCTCTTATGTCAAATGTTGATAGTCTCAGGCTTGTTTGTCTGCATTAGAGTTCTATATGTTATTGTCGTTCATATTATTTTATACTGATATATGCCTTTTACAGATATAAATTTTCTGTTAAAAACTATTGCAATGTATTAACTTAATAGTTCAATTTTATTTACGGTTTACTATTAGTTTAAAAATTCGAATACTATAGTACTAAAAAAAATTTGTTAATGTCACTCGTACCCACAAATAATTTCTAGAAAGGATATCAAGGCCATTGAGTTCACATGCCTTATAATATACATCAAATCTTTTACATTTTAGCAAAGAATGGTTATGCATAAGAAACTATACAATAAGCATTGAACTCAAATGCAAAAAAAAAAAAAGATTATCTTAACTACTAATAAACGTCTATAAGTTGACTTAACTTACTAAGATGTATGTTTCGATCGAAAGAACTGAATTTTGAATTCTTTTAAGGTTGAACATAAAGAAACAATAATAATGATGGAGAGAATGATAAACAAGTAAAATACCGAATAAAGTCGAACACTAGAAACAAAGTCTTCTCCTGCAAGCTTCAAATGGCAGTGAAGTATAAGTAAAGGTATGGTCTTTAACTAACTCTTCAATTAAGTCCCCAAAAATCTGATGTTGTAAAGCCAGTCCTATTCTTCCCACTTCCATCTTTAGACCCCAAGAAATGTCTTTGCACACTCCTTCTACACTATCTTTCATTGCCTCCCTACCACACCCTGGAGATTCAGCTGCTTTTTCATTTTTCAAGTTACCAACTACTTCTTCAGGGATTTTGGTTCTCTCAAATTTGCTTATATTGAAGATATGATCCCCTTCTTGTTTCTTCTTCCTTTGCATCATTTGTTGTCTTTGTTGTGATTGTACTCTTCCTACAATATTGATATTAGAGATTAAATCATTTTCGGTACGAAACTATATAATGAATGGTTGGAAAGATTTATGTTATTTGAGTCAGACTTGAAATCTGGCGGTACTTGTTTTAGTTCAATGAGTGAGAGTGGAGATTCGAACCTCTAATCTCTTAGTCATAGATATAATCTAACTTTTCAATCTTCCTTTCGAATCAAAATAAAGTCGAGATTTTGGAGACTATTTAGAAAGTTTTCATGACAAACAAATATTTTAAAGATATAGAGACCTACCTATGACAACTTTAAAGTCGAGAAATCAAAATGAGAACTAAGTATTTATGTTATTCCTACATGCTAGCTCCACAATACACCAAATCCTAGTCATAATAACCCATGTCATTATCTAAAGCTTAATTTTGGGTGAAAAAAAAATAGTGTTAAATATCACAATCACACTTTTCTTGGCAGTGGGACTAATTATCATACAGCGTTTGCTCTAACCTAACGAGCAACTCAGCTATGGGCAACAAGGCGAGCATGGTCATGACACTAAGCATTGATTTTTAACCAAGTTTTGAAAGTTTCAATTTTATTCCTCAAAGATTTAATATTTTTTCCTTTAAGTGTTCATGTCATAAACTCAATGAGACCTAAACTAAACACATTGTAATATATATATATATATAGAGTAAGAACACAAATTTAGACGACGATGATTAGAACTTATCTTAGAAGAGAGACTGACCCGCTACAAACTTGTTTCAAATTATTAGACGATGATTAGAACTTATTAGAAAAGAGAACTGGTCTATTACAAACTTATTTCAAATTATTAAATAAAACACTAAAAGTTTATAAATTTTTAAAAATCATTAAAAAAAACGTGGAGAGATCCATTAAACACTCAATGAAATTAAAATTTATAGGATATTTTTAAAAGTAAAAATAAAAATAAAAATAAAAAAATAAATAAAAAGAAGAAGGTATGAATGAATTTTGGGGAGGCGTTATTGGGGATAAGAATAATTTCATAAAACAATAAAAGGCAATTGCTTCAGTTTGTACCCAAAATTATTATTATTGCTTACTGCAATTGATCTGCTATCATTACTCGCACCCTATCTTTCGCCCTTTTTCACTTTTCTACCCATTTACCCCTTAACAAAATCATCATTTTTTTTACCCTCTTTCACTTTTGTACTCAATTTTCCTCTCTTCTATTTAAATTATATAATTACTGTTTTTGTATTTTATTTCTCAGGATTCTATAAGATTTTTTTTTTTAAGTTTTTTTTTTCTGTATTTTCTTTTCTAAAATTTAACTGAAGTTTGATTTAATACTAATAAGTGGACCTCTAATATTTTTTTGTATTAAGATATTTGATTTAATTAATTATTTGAAAACCTCCAGAAACTAAAAATATTTTTCAAAAAAAAAAAAAAAAACTTTTTTCAAAAATAATTTTAAAAAAAAAGTGATGTAATTTTATCCCAATTATTTAAAAGTTGTAGATTAAATAATTGTGTTCCCTTTCTGCTATAACTCAATCTCAATTAGTCCCTACATGTCTTATAGTTTCATTATTAGTATGATTTGCTAATTTAATCCTAAATTACTGGGAAAAAAAACACTGCATTACAAATTTAATTACTAAAATTTTGAAATTATACACTCCAAATTTAAAATAAGTCCATAAAGTTTTTTTTTTTTTTTTTTTTTTTTCTATCTAATAAACCTTTTGAATTTATTTATATAAACTTTTAATTTTTTAAAAAATTAACAGGCAATATACTAAATTGAAATTTTATAGTATTTTTAAACTTTTTGAATTTGTTATAAATATCTAAACTAAATATAAATTTTAATTTTCAAGTGCTAAGAGTAAAATAAATGAATGAACTTATAATTAATTTAGCCAAAAATATTAAAATTATAATATAATAACACTAAATTTTAACTGTTTTGTTAGTGCGAGAACGTACCGGGATTTGCAGACGGCTGGTGGAAGATCCTGCTGTTGTTGCACGCATGGCGGTTAACGAAATGCCGCGGCCTACTCAACTCTTCGAGCACCGATACCGGACTAGGATCCTGCAGCTGTTCCCAAGCCATGAACTCAATCCTTTTCCCTTCACTGACCGGTGACGACATTCGGAAGCTCTCTGTCGACTCAAGCGCGTCGATGAACTCCTTCAGCGCCTTCAGATCCTGTTCGCATTTCTCCAAAGCTTCCATAACCTTCCTCTGCTTCTCCGCCGCTTCTGGAACGCTTTCCTCCACTTTGGAGCTTTCCAGTCCCATCAATCGCACGATCGGACCTCTCGCTCCTAAAAACCTCTCCACTTTCGTTGTGGAGATTTCGGATTCGGATCGTTCTGCGATTTGCGGCGAAACGGATGAGGAAATTAGGAGATTAGCGGCGGATTCTGGTTTTGGAGAGCGAGAAATTTTCGATTCAGAACTTGCATTGTCGAGAAATTCCTGATTACTGTTGTGTACTGAAACAGAGAGATTACGATGAAATTAGGTCGAATGAAAGAAATTAGTGAAGATTACGAAGGAGAAGAAAAGGATTTACCGAATGTGATGGACTTATTGCGGCGGCTGTGGTTGTTGTTGGAGAGGAAATGGAGGAGGTTAGAGACACAGCCGAAGGATTTGGAACGGCGGCGGCTGAGGCTACGGCGGAGGAGGTCATCGGAAGAAATCTCAACTTGCGAGGACGATGATAAGAAGCTGTTCTGCCTCTTCATGGATCTCTGAGAGACTGAAGCGCTTTGAAACTGAAACTCTGATTTGCTGTCTTTGGAATTTAGACCTTCGGAGCCATCATATATGGAAATTAATTTCTTTTTTTGGTATATCTTTTAATTCCAAATTTTTGTGTTTATGTTTTTTAATTTTCATTATTTAAACCCTAATTTGTGATTTTTTTAAAAAAATATATATTTATATTATTTATTTGCATAATAGTGAAAATATACTATAAAATTCAAGGAAAAAATTAAAAATAATTTTTAGAGAGTACAATTAAAAAAGTTAAAAAAAATAATAATTGACATTTTAATTGATATTCAATATATATATATATTATAAGTTATTTAGAAATATTTTAAATGAATTATTTGGATTAAAAAATAAGTTATTATTTGCATATTTTTATTTTTATTTTTATTTTAAAAATAAAAATAAATTGAGTGGTATAGTATTTAAATTAAATGAAAGTGGATGAAATGAATTAATTCCGACAAGTAAAATTACGGAAATGTTATGAAAATACTAAATTAGAGTAAATAAATATTTACTAATATTGGAATGTGACATAAAGTTTGACCACCAACATAAAATAAAGCGGCTTTGGGTATGGTGGAAATTAATGATGATTGGCACGGGAACTCAATGACCTTAAACGCATCCCTTCCCTTCAACCACACCATTTAATGCTACATTCAAAACACAACCCTCCTTCCAAAATGTCTACACTGGTTGTTGGTTGCAGTGGGAACGAACCGTTCTTATAAAAGTGTCTAAACCTCTTTCTATACCCGTTTTAGAATCGTGGGGTTGACGGCGATATGTAATGGGCCGAAACGGACAATATCTACTAGCGGTGAGCTTAGACGTTGGGTTCCAAAAGAAGTGAATTGTGAGATCTCACATTCGTTGGAGAGGGAAACAAATGATTTCTTTTAAGTGTGTGGAAACCTCTCCCTAACAAACACATTTTAAAACCTCTCCCATACGTAACATGTGGAATGAGATTATATCTACTAATGGTGAGTTAGAGCTGTTACAAATAGTATCAGACCCAGACACCGGGCGGTGTGCCAGCTAAAATGCTATGTCTCAAAATGAAGTGGATTGTGAGATCCTACATCGACTGAAGAGTAAACGAAGCAGATGTGCATAATACAAGTAATAATGCACTGGGCTGCTATCTATGTTCACAATTATTTTCTTCGTACATTTATAGAAAAATAAAATCTTAGTATCATAAAAACGATTCATTTTAAAAAGTACATATTAATTATCAAAAACATGTAGAAATTAAATAATTATAATTTAATTATAATCAAATATCAACAAACGGTCCCGTAGCTCAGTTGGTTAGAGCGTTGGTCTTATGAGCCGAAGGTCGCGGGTTCGAGCCCCGCCGGGACCATTTACTTACCATGACAGGCCCACAATCATTTTGTCTTTTTTTTTTTTTTAATAAATTGAACTAATAAATCACATTAACCTCTTACAAATAAATTAAATCAGTCAATCAATAATATTTAACTCATTTAAATTAACATATTGAATTTATTACATTTATTAAATTAAAAGCATTTCAATTTAAAAAAAATGTATAGAGTATATATTCAAAAAAAAAATTATTTTTTAATTTTATATTAATATAATAGGCTAATTAAAATAACTCAGTAATGATTTTATAAGTTATTGACCTCTAAAATTCATCATCATGCTTCATGCCATTTATTCTTCTCATTTAATTTTTTCGTCATAATATTTCTTTAATAAAAATAAAAATAAAAATAAATGGTAAAAGTATTGATATGAAATTAATTGCAAAATTATTTTATCCAAAGGATGCACCAATTTCAGGGGTAAAATTGGAAGAAAATTACATTAAATTTATTTCTGAAAAATTGGGCATGTCTTATATGTAAAATCGATGAGAATGATCAAATTCCACGCCATCCTATTGACACATTTGATAGGGTGCGTAACACCAAATAAAACTCTTAATTATTTTTAAAAAAACAAATGCATTCAAAGTTGACTTTTATTCTTATTTTTTTTAATTTAAAAAATAAATAAAACTGTAACTTTGACTTTTCCTCTAATTATTTCCAATTTTAATATTTAAGACTTTAAAAGTAACCGTTTTAATCTCTAAAATTTAAATAATATTCCCATTATAGTCATATTTTTAATCACATTATCTATTAAATAGTTAATGACAAAATAATAAAATATTTTTTTATCTAAACTTTGAATATATAACTTTTAAAATAAAATAATTATGCTTATTTGATTTTTAAGTATATAATAATAATGGATCTGACATAATGATTTGATTTGATCATATCTTGACCCTTCATTATTTTATTTTATTTTTTATTTCTTAAACGTGGATTTAGATATTATTTTATTGAGGAATCCAAATGAGACCTTTGTTATAAATATAATAAATTACAATTTTAATGGTTGAGATGTAATTAATAATATAAATTAATTATCTACCTATATACTTCAAAAGTCATGCTGTCATACGTCAATTAATGCTAATTAAGAAGTATACATTAAAATTTAAATATTTCTTAACTAAAAGTAAATATTTAAAGACTTTAATCAATTTTTTAACTTACAAGTAGATTAATTATTATTAAAAGTTAGAATATCGTACTGTTTCAATAATCTGACAACTCAACTCAAATCGAAAATAAAAGGTTGGGTCGGATTGGGTTGTGAGCTCTATTCGAGTTACTCGGAACACCAATTCAATCAACTCGAAATTATGGGTTTGGTCACACCTTTATAACTATCTATTAATTTTAACATCGAAAGTTGAACCCTCGAATTTGTTGATACGGAAACCGAGATTCTAACGGCTATGGATTAAAATATATATTACGCTTTAAATTAAGCTAAAAGCCACATGTTCTAACATGCCCTTTTTACTATAATATTACATGTTGAGTTATATATATAAATATATAATTCAGTGAAAAATATTGCATTATTTGAGTTTCTCTCTATCTAGAATGAACCCAAAAACAAAGGAGAAGGAAGGAGGGAGAATGATTGAGGTGGGGGAAATAGGAAGAAGAAGAAGCTTTAGTTCGAGTTTCGGGAGGCGCTCGGTGGCAGTGGAGGACGACGACGATGACGGTGATATTAAAGATGTTTCTCTTTGGACGTCGATCGAGAGATTGCCAACGTTCGAACGACTGAGATCGTCGTTGTTCGACGATGCTCGGGGAGAAGCGGAGAGAAGAGTCGTGGTCGATGTTACAAAGCTTGGAGATGAAGAGCGCCATCTCTTCATTCAAAACCTCATCAAACACATTGAGAATGATAATCACAAGCTTTTGAGAAAAGTCAAGGAGAGAATCCACAAGTAAGCCTTTTTTTTTTCTTTTTTTTTTTAAATTTTCATTTTATTAAATATATTTTACAAAATTAAATTAAATTAAATTAAAATTTAATTGAAGGGTTGGTGAGAAATTCCCAAGGGTAGAAGTGGAATACAAAAATGTGAATATTGAAGCTAAGTGTGAGATTGTTCGAGGCAAAGCTCTTCCCACGCTTTGGAATTCGCTTCAAACCAATCTTTTTGTAAGCATTTTATTTTATTTTATTTTATTATTTAATGGAAAAAATATAGAGAAATTTGAATTAAAAAAACATAAATAATTGCTATATTTTAATTTTAATTTTATTATTTTCTTGTAATTAAATTTTAAAAACTATTTTATTTAGTTTACATGATTAATAAGAATTGGAATGAGATTCTTTATTTTATTTTATTTTATTTTATTTTATTTTATTTCTTTTAACAGAATCTTATTCTTTTAAAATTTCGTCCGAATATTGTATGACGTAATAAATGGAGGGTTTTTTTTTGTGGATAAATAGAAAAAAAAATTAATATCTGGGAATTAATTAAATTAAATTAATTAAGTAAGTATAAATGAGAATTTAAATATTTTTTTAATTCCTCTAACAAAATGTGAAATGATTATTTGATGATTTAAAATATTGTTCTAGAATTTCTTGATTTTTTTATTTTAATTTTGTGTTTTATTTTGTTAGGGTATTATTAATTTTTGTGGTGGAAAATCCCATGGAGCTAAAATTAATATAATTGAGGAGGTTAGTGGTGTCATAAAGGCTGGAAGGTATTTCTTTTTTCTTTTTTTTCTTTTTTCTTTTTAGAGCTTTTTAAATATTCACCTCATTTGTTTATTTTAATTTTGAGACTAATGGATATAATCATAAAAATAAGTAAAAATATATATATATATTTTTATTAATTAAAATTTGGGACTCATAGTTTAGAAAATTATGTTTCAATTAACTAAAAATTATTTAAAAGAAAGAATAAATAATACAAATGTATATATGTATATTTTAAAATTAATAATAAATTTGAATTTATTTGGTTGAACACAATTTAATATATAAAAATATGTTTATTTATGGGTAAAAGGAATGAGTTTGATTCAGGTTAACTCTGCTGCTTGGGCCCCCAGGATGCGGTAAGACCACACTACTAAAAGCTCTGTCTGGAAATCTTCACAAATCTCTCAAGGTATTTTTTTTTTAATGCAAAACTTTAATTCAGCTTTTAATTTCATGACATTGTTACAATTAAAATCTTCGGTCGCCTATGAATCATCGAGGTAGAGGACTTAGCCTTCTTCGGTCGGTTTTGTCATGCATGTGCTCAACCAACCCGGACCGATCAAAATGGTAATTTTAAATGTTTGATAGTAATAATTGTATAGTTCGTCGGTAGTTAACATGTTTTTTTTTTTAATTTAAGAGTTTAAGAGTTTAATCAAAGAATTAAAAGCGTTAGCGATATAACTGAAAGTTTAAGAGTATGCCATTGTGATTGCAATGGTATCTATTTCTTTACTAATCTTATTTTCACGGAAAAAGATGACAGGAGAAATTTGTTACAATGGGCACAAACTTGAGGAATTTGTCCCCCAAAAAATAAGTGCATATATAAGCCAATATGACCTACACATTCCCGAGATGACGGTGAGGGAAACCCTTGATTTTTCAGCACGGTGTCAAGGGGTCGGAAGTCGAGCAGGTGGGTTTACCAATTTTTTTTAATGTATAATCGAAACTTTGTTAACTTATAAATTTAGTCTCATTACTAAATAACTTCTTAGTCTCCATTTTCGCTCCACATTTCATTCTCGAACTCATGAAATTTCCCATTAAATTATTTCATGGGATTCGGATTTTTCGTGAATAAGTTATCTTTATTTAGCGTTCAATAAATAAATAAAAAAATCAATTAAATTAAACATGTTATATGCTTGATTATAAAATTTTAAAAATATCAGTAAAAACCCATTTTGTGTGGGATTGTTTGGTTTTTTACTGTGAAGATATGATGGAGGAGGTTTGTAAAAGGGAGAAGGAACAAGGAATTATTCCAGATCCTGATGTTGATATTTACATGAAGGTAAATTTTTATTTTTATTTTTATTTTATTTTATTTTATTTTATTTATTTTTTTAATTTTATGTATTAAAATTAAATAGGCCACTTCTGTTGAAGGACTAAGACAAAGTCTTCAAACAGATTACATACTGAAGGTCTGTTCTCTTTTATCCAATTTCAATTTTTTAATGTTTTTTTTTAATTGAATTTAAACATTAAACTCGAGTAAATGGTAAAAAAAAATGTTAATTTTACCCAATGTTACCCAAATTTATCCATCGATGTTGCAGATTCTTGGGCTTGATATTTGTGCTGAAACACTGATAGGGGATGCTATGAGAAGAGGCATTTCAGGTGGCCAAAAGAAGAGATTAACGACGGGTAATGTTGATAATTAGCTTTCGAAATACTTGAGTTCTTTCAAAAACCAGCAATAATATTTCAAAACTACTTTCGGAGTGTAGAAATTTGATAGAACGTTCAACGGAATTGTGACATGAACGAAAATTATGACCGAGATATATGGTGGTGACCTGAAATGAAAACAGAACACGTTTTAGAAGTTGATTGGATTGAAATAAAATTTAAAAAAAAAAAAAAAAAACATGCAGGAGAAATGATGGTTGGTCCACACAGAGCTTTGTTCATGGATGAAATAACAAATGGATTGGACAGTTCCACAGCATTTCAAATCGTTTCTTGTCTGCAAAATCTAGCTCATTTTACAGATGCTACAATACTTGTCTCCCTTCTTCAGCCAGCTCCCGAAACCTTCGATCTCTTCGACGACATAATCTTGATGGCTCAAAAGAAGATCATATATCACGGTCCTCGTGATCGAGTTCTTGAATTCTTTGAGGATTGTGGTTTCAAGTGCCCTGAGAGAAAAGGGATAGCAGATTTTCTTCAAGAGGTCATTTCCAGAAACGATCAGCCACAGTTTTGGTACTGTAACGACATTCCTTACGCATATATCTCGGTCGATGCATTTTGTACAAAGTTCGAGTCATCGAGGAAGCTCGATGAGGAGGATGTCTCAAAAAGCCATTTGGATGATGATGATGATGTCTCCATGTTGGATACTGACAGTGTTTCTAAATGGCAAGTGTTTAAAGCTTGTGCATCAAGGGAACTCCTCCTCATGAGACGAAATTCATTTGTTTACGTCTTCAAAACGGCTCAGGTTAGTGTGTTCTAACTTAATATTGGTTGAACGATGAACGTAATCACTAAGCTTTGAAATTTGTGTCTATCTATTTGACTCGAGCAGCTTTTTATCATTGGTTTGGTCACAATGACGGTGTTTCTTCGAACACGAATGGAAGTCGATCTCGAGCATGCTAACTACTACATGGGAGCCTTGTTTTATGCACTTATTTTACTACTTGTTGATGGGGTTCCAGAGTTGGCTATGACCATTCAAAGATTGGAAGTTTTCTATAAACAAAAACAATTCTACTTCTATCAAGCATGGGCCTACGCAATTCCCACAGCCATTTTGAAGATCCCTCTTTCACTTGTGGAATCATTAGTATGGACATGTCTTACTTATTATGTTATTGGCTTCACTCCGCAGCTCAGTAGGTCAGTTTTGATCCAAAAACTTTAAGTTTTAGCTTTGTTTTAGTGTTTATACGCTGTGAATGTTTTGTTTGATAGGTTCCTTAAACAAGCTGTTCTTCTGTTTGCGGTGCACTTAACATCATTATCTATGTATCGGCTAATAGCCTCAATCTTCCAAACCCAAGTAGCTTCCATGACAGTAGGGAGTTTTGCAATATTGTTAGTCTTGTTGTTTGGTGGCTTCATCATCTCGCATTGTAAGTTTTTCAATCACTCTCATTTAAAAGACCGAGCGAGTGAATTATCAATATTAATTGGGAAGAAAATGACGGTGTTCGAGTTTTGCAGCCTCCATGCCTGCTTGGTTGGGATGGGCTTTTTGGGTTTCGCCTATTAGTTACGGAGAAATTGGCCTTTCTGTCAATGAGTTTCTTGCTCCGAGGTGGCAAAAGGTATAAAACTTGTGTTCGACACTCATTTCTATGGTTACGTAAGATACGAATCGATCGACAACTTAGAGCCTAGCTTGACTGATCGAGATGTGTATTTTTTACCATGAGGTCAGAGATTCGAGTCCTTAAGTATGATTGTTTTGTGCTCCAACTTTTGTAGGTACAAGCTACAAACACTACAATAGGTTATGAAGTGCTTCGAAGTCGAGGACTCAATTATCATCAATACTTGTATTGGATTTCACTTGCAGCCTTGTTCGGGTTTACACTCATTTTCAATACCGGATTTGTCTTGGCCCTAACTTTCCTCGAGCGTAAGTCTATTACAAGTTTGGTCTCTAAATTTTTGTGAATAAGTCTTTGATTAACAAGTCTATTCTTCATTTAGCTCCCGGGTCGTCTCGTGCGATTATCTCACACGAAAAGCTCTTGCAAACAAAGAGCAGTGAAGAAGGCAATGGCAGTGCTAGTTCTGTGGAAAAAGCATCTTCTCCTAAGACCAACATAGAATCCAGAAAAGGTCACTTATCATTGTGATTGGGTTTATTGATGTTCTTGTGTTTTGATATGTTTTTCATGATCTGGTTGCTTCAAATAACAGGAAGAATAGCTTTGCCTTTCACACCTTTAACAGTAGTGTTTCGAGATTTGCAGTATCATGTGGACATGCCATTGGTAGTACTCTTCAAACTCTTAACCAAATTAGCTTGTCTGTGAGATTGTTTTCGGCCTTTTAAAATTGTGATGTTGGTTTTAGATAGAGATGTTCACAGGGTAGGGATAGGGATGGAGAAGCTTTTCTCGTCCCCATCCCACCTCCTGTTTCAATCTCTATCCTTGAGAAAATTTTCACTTAGTTTCGTGAAGCGGGATTGGAACTTGGGCAGAGGTGAGGACGGGGACGACAATGGGGATATAATATTGTGAGATCCCATATCAGTTGGGGAGAAGAACAAAACATACTTTATAAGGGTGTGGAAACCTCTCCCTAGTAGACATGTTTTAAAAATCTTGAAGGGAAGCCTAAAAGGGAAATTCTAAAGAGGACGATATCTGCTAGTGGTGGGCTTGGGCCGTTACAAATGGTATCAAAGCCAGACATTGGGCGATGTGCCAGCGAGGAGGCTAAGCTCCAAAGGGGGGTGTACACAAGGCGGTGTGCCAACAAGGAGCTAGGCCTGAAAGGGGGTGGATTGAGGAGTCCACATCGATTGGAAAAGGGAACAAGTGTCAGTGAAGACGCTAGCCCCCAAAAAGGGGTGGATTGTGAGATCCCACGTTGGTTGAGGAGGAGAACGAAACATTCTTTATAAGGGTGTGGAAACTTCTCCCTAGCAGACACGTTTTAAAAACCTTGAGAGGAAGCCCGAAGGGAAAAACCTAAAGAGGACAATACCTGCTAGTGGTAGGCTTGGGCCGTCATATAATCCTCGTGCCCGTCCCCGGCCCTATTAGCTAAAGAATAGAAATCTCTCCTTGCTCTCTCCCCTTCTCCACTCACTCCGTATTCATGGTTGAAGTACTAACTTTTTTTTTTTTTTTTTGATTCAAGGAAATGAGAGAACGGGGTTTCACCCAGAAGAAACTCCAACTCCTTTCAGATCTAACAGGGGCTTTAAGGCCTGGTGTCCTCACGGCATTGATGGGTGTAAGTGGAGCTGGGAAGACAACTCTGCTTGATGTTCTTGCAGGAAGAAAAACATACGGATACATAGAAGGAGATATCAAAATTGGTGGCTTTCCTAAAGTTCAAAAGACATTTGCTCGGATATCTGGTTACTGTGAGCAAACTGATATACATTCTCCTCAAATAACAGTGGAAGAATCACTTATCTTCTCTGCTTCGCTCCGTTTAGCATCTGATATCGACTCGGAAACAAAAGCGGTATCGTATAGTTCCCCCTCTTTAGCTAAAACTTACATGTAATATCTAATGTTGATATTAGTTTCTTGTTTCACAGCAATTTGTGAATGAAGTCCTTGAGACCATTGAACTTGATGACATAAAAGACATGTTGGTTGGCAGACCGGGTGTTAGTGGTTTATCGACCGAGCAGCGTAAACGCTTAACCATAGCTGTGGAGCTTGTTTCCAATCCCTCTATCATCTTCATGGATGAGCCTACCACTGGTTTGGACGCAAGAGCAGCTGCCATTGTCATGCGAGCGGTCAAGAATGTGGTTGATACTGGAAGAACAATAGTTTGTACCATCCACCAGCCGAGTATTGACATCTTTGAATCGTTTGATGAGGTAAAAATCTTTCAAATGTTTTTTCTTTATAGAACTATCCATTTTTTAAGGCAGCTTCTGCTATGAATCACAACTCTTCACAATGGCTGATATTGTCCACTTTGAGCATAAGCTCTCGTACCTTTGTCTTGGGCTTCTCCAAAAGGCCTCATACCAATGGAGATGTATTTCTTACTTATAAACTCATAATCATTCCTAAATTAGCCAATGTGAGACTCTCTCCCAACAATTCTCAACAGCTTCACACCTTTCTGTGCAGATGATTCTTTTGAAAACTGGTGGTCACATGATCTACTGTGGACCACTCGGACAACGTTCAAGAAGGCTTATAGAATACTTTGAGGTAAGCTTGCTGTGCTACTAGCAATGCTGCTTGTGACCATATATTCCCTTTTCATTGTTTCTATTACACACACAGCATGTTCCTGGGGTTTCAAAGATCAGAGAAAACTACAATCCTGCAACATGGATGCTAGAGGTTACCTCTCCCTCAGCAGAATCTGAACTCGGTATAGATTTTTCTCAAGTATACAAGAACTCGACTCTCTATGAGTGAGTAACGCTCTATAACTTTGTTTTTTGTTTCAATTTCGACTCCAAATAGTGAGCGAGTTTGAATTAAATGTTTTGGAAGTGCAAGTTTCAGGGAAAACTTTGTCGAAACTTTTGAAGTTTAGTTGGAATCTATTGTTCGCACGTCACGATATCGATGACGTAACTATTTTATTATCTATTGAAAAGAAGAGTGAAGGACATAAAACATTATAGCGGCCCAAGCCCACCACTAGCAAATATTGTCCTCTTTAAAACGCGTCTGCTAGGGAGAGGTTTTCACATCCTTATAAAGGGTGTTTCGTTCTCCTCCCCAACCGATGTGGGATCTCACAAACATACTTTTCTATGATATGTTTTGCAGGACTAACAAAGAGCTTGTGGATCAGTTGAGCAGTCCGCCTCCTGGTTCGAGCGATTTGCGTTTTTCGAAGGTCTTTTCGCAAGGTTTCGTCGGACAGTTGAAGGCTTGTCTTTGGAAACAAAACTTGTCATATTGGAGAAGTCCTTCATATAACTTAATCCGTTTGATGCATACACTTGCATCGTCTTTGATGTTTGGGGCACTATTCTGGAAGCAAGGGAAAGAGCTGTGAGTATTTTTATGCATTGAATGTGAAAGCTTTTGGTGCCATTTTCCAATCCATTTCAGTTGTCAAAGTGTTAGGATACTGATAAGAATGAGCAAACTTTGTGTTGTGTTTATGTCTGTGTTTGAAGAGAAAACCAGCAGAACTTGTTCAATATTTTCGGTTCGATGTACACTGCTGTAATCTTCCTTGGAATTGACAATTGCTCATCAGTCCTTCCTTATGTATCAATGGAGAGAACTGTGATGTACAGAGAAAGGTTTGCTGGGATGTATTCTTCATGGGCTTATTCACTTGCGCAGGTACATTTTCATTTTAACTTGTTCAACCCTTTTGATCCTAATGATCTAGCTTTTAGCTTAAATTATAAGTTTATTCCCTTCTATCTTTAAACGAGACCAAAACCATTATCGAACAGGGCCTAAATTGTAACAGCTCAAACCCACCGTTTGCAGATATTGTCCTCTTTGGGCTTTTCCTTTCGAGTTTCCCCTCAAGGTTTTTAAAACGCGCCTGCTAGAGATGTTTCCACACCCTTATAAAGAATGTTTCGTTCTCCTCCCCAACCGATGTGGAATTTCACAATCCACCCCCCTTCAGGGCCAGCGTCCTCGCTTACACTCGTTCCCTTCTCCAATCGATGTGGGATCCCCAAGTCCACCCCCTTTGGGGCCCAGCGTCCTTGCTGGCACACCGCCTCATGTCCACCCTCCTTTAGTGCTCAGCCTCCTCGTTGGCACATCGCCCGATGTTTGACTCTGATACCATTTGTAAAAGCTCAAGCCCGCTGCAGGCATATATTGTCTTTTTGGGTTTTCCCTTTCGGGCTTCCTCTAAAGTTTTTTAAAACGCGCCTGCTAGAGGTAGGTTTCCAGACCCTTATAAAGAATGATTTGTTCTCCACCTCAACCGATGTGGGATCTCACATGAATATTCCACGAGCAAAGAAAGTGGCTTGCCCCACAACTCAAAACCACTAAAATTCTATTTTTCTTAACTTTTTGTCTATGTTTGTAGCTAATATATGAACACATAAGCCAGTTCACTGAGATTTTGAAGCTCTATATATTGTGAAGTTCTCTAAAAAGTTGTCAAATTTCAAAACTTTGTCTAACTTTGCAGGTGCTTGTGGAGGTTCCTTACTTGTTAGTACAAGCAGCTACGTATGTAATCATCACTTACCCCATGATTGGATTCTATGGCTCAGCATCCAAAGTGTTTTGGTGTTTCTACTCGATATTATGTGCACTTCTCTACTTCAACTATCTTGGGATGCTGCTTGTCTCCATCACACCAAACTTTCAAATTGCTAACATCTTGTCGTCTGCCTTCTACACTATGTTCAATCTCTTTTCTGGTTTTCTTATTCCCCATCCGGTAAGCCATGGCTCCTCCTTGATGCTCTTTATTTTGCCTCGGACATGACAAAGACTATATCATGTGTCTGTTTAGCATACTTAACAAGTGCTTGATACGTGTCTCACAACTAATGTAAAACAGATCCACTATGCTAATAAGTGTTCGATATGGTCCAACAAGCATCTTAGCGGGTTGGACATGATGATCAAAAAGGAAAAGTTTGAAGAAGTAACGACCAAAATGAAATGATTAGTAAGGTTATTCATAGAGATAACATGTGAGATCTCACATCGATTGGAGAGGAGGAGTACTAGAGAGGATGTTGGGCCCCGAAGGGGATGGATTGTGAGATCCCACATCGATTGGAGAGAGGAACGAAACATTCTTTATAAAGGTGTAGAAACCTCTCCCTAGGAGACGCGTTTTAAAAACCTTGAGGGGAAGCCCGAAAGAGAAAGCCCAAAGAGGACAATACCTACTAGTAGTGCGCTTGAGCTTCCTTTTATATTTTTGCTCTCTTTTCTATCATCTCCATGAAAGCTCGGGTTTTTGAGCTCGGTTTTTCAGTAAATAAAAGTTTCTCTGTTTTTATGCAGCAAATCCCAAAGTGGTGGACATGGTTGTATTACATGACACCAACATCATGGACTTTGAATAGCTTACTAACATCACAATATGGAGATATAGACAAGACACTGATGGGGTTTCAAGAAAAGACAACAGTATCAGCTTTCTTAAGAGATTACTTTGGCTTTCACCACAGTCAACTTCCCCTTGTGGGATTCATTCTCATTCTCTTCCCTCTTCTTTTTGCTTTTCTTTTTGGATTTTGTATTGGAAATTTGAACTTCCAGAGAAGGTAAGCAAAACCAATTTCTTCCTTGCTTTCCTTTGTAGATAATAAATTTAGAGTTTTAGGGTTAAATTACAAATTTAGTCCCTATAATGCACGGGACAATCTGAACCTACTTCGAGATGAAAGGAACGAACATAATCAAAGTGAGTAATACGAGTATTATTCGGTTATTATCCCCACCCATAAAGGTTTTAGTCTCTAAATTAGAGTAACATCCTGCAGCAACAAGATTTTTGTCTCTAAGTGAGGAATGAAACATCTTTATAAGAGTGGGGAAATCTCTCCCTAGCAAACACGTTTTTAAAACCTTGAGCTTTAACCCAAAAGGGAAAACCCAAAGAGAACAATATCTGCTAGCGGTGGGTTTGAGCCGTTACAAATCGAATCAGAGCCAGACACCGAGTGGAGTGCCAGCGAGGACACTAAGCCACGAAGGGAGTGGACACTGGATGGTGCACCAACGAGGACACTGAGCCCCTAAGGGGGTGGAGTATCATCGATGACATTAGACCTCGAAGGGGGTGGATTGTGAGATCTCACATTGGTTGGAGAAGGGAATGAAACATTCTTTATAAGGGTGTGGAAACCTCTCCCTATCAGACACAACCAAAAAGGGAAATCCCAATGAGGACAATATCTAGTAGCGGTGGGTTTGGGCCGTTACAAATGGTATCAGAGCCAGATTCCAAGCGATGTGTCAGCGAGGATGCTGAGTCCCAAAGGAGGTGGATTGTGAGATCCCACATCGGTTGGAGAGGGGAACAAAAATATTCTTTATAAGGGTGTAAAAACCTCTTCCTAGCAGACGCGTTTTAGAAACCTTGAGGGGAAGGCCGAAAAGAAAGCTGAAAGAAGACAATATCTGCTAGTAGGCCGTTCGAATCAAATCGTTAGATCCTCTGTTGTAGTAATGTAAATTAGGTATCACTGAAAGTAACAAGCAGGTCCAATCTGCTAACAGTAAGTCACATACATGCAGCAGATCTAAGTATAACTACATAAGGTATCAAGTCTAAACAAATGTGAATGGTAGGTCAGTTTCCATAAACTAGTAATATGAAGAATCCTACGGAAGAATCAAAACGAGAAGTTGTAATTAGAACTTTTGACGAAGTGATTCGCTCTAAGATGGAGCTAAATTCATCAGCATCATTTCCAGAAAATAGTTGCAGAGAATCGAAACTGGAAACATTACAAGTACGAACTGTAGATGAAAAGAACTATAAAGTAAAAACATAGATATACTTAAACAAAAGCTACAAAAATTTCGTATAATAAAGATTAAGTTGAAGAAGAAGATGAGGAGGAAGAAGCACCTCTTCGTCATTAGGTTTGCAAACAGTCTCATCAACCTCCCTGGTGATATCAATGGTGCGTCGAATCTTGATAGGAGGAGGCTAAAGAAGGAATAAAAATGTAAGAGAAAGAATCTCCGAGAATCGGAAAAAAATAAAATAAATAGAAGAAAGATAATGGCCCATGCAGGTTTCGAACCTAGGCCATGCTCTCAAATGTGCGAGCTTATGTTATTCATCTTAATATGCACATCTTTTTTCTTTGAATAAATAAAATAAAGCAAAATCAAAATGGCCCATGCAGGTTTCGAACCTGCGACCTTCGCGTTATTAGCACGACGCTCTAACCAACTGAGCTAATAGGCCTTACTGAAAGGATAGTTAAATTAATTAATATTTCTTTAAATAATAAAATTTTAAATTATTTCGACCATATTTTCAATTAAACGATAGAAACGGATGGTTTTTGAATAATCAATAAACAATTTATAATTTTGAAGATCAAGATGGAAATTTGATATTTATCTTACATTTTCAATTTCTAAGTTAAATTTCTAAACCAAAAATAATGATTTTTAAACCATAATATTTGTTTTATTTTATTTTTTAGATAAATTTCTCGACTAACTTTAATATAACCAATAGCTTAGCTATGTCAACTTAATCTATACATCAATGAGAATCGTTCGAAATATTTTAATTTTATATTTAAGAATAAATATATCTCACATAATTTAAAGTATTAAAATAATTAAATTTATGTTGTATAAAAGCTTCAATAATATCCTTACTTTTGAAGAGGTTTTAAAAAATACCATTTAATTTCTAAAAATGTTTTAAAAAATATAATTCATACTCTTAATTTAAATTAAACCATTAAAAATTAAAAAAATAAATAAATAAAACTTTGAGTTTTAAATTTTTGTGAATAAAATTTTACAAGAAGTTAAACTAAATACGTCGAGAAGCAGTAGAATAAACTACTATACTGAGTCTAGCTGAGTCTTAACTTGAGGTTTGTCGAGCATTTAAATAAACTATTATAGTGAATCGAGTGACTATTATAGTTGAGTTATGTCCAAACTTGAAGTTTATTCAACAGCCAAACAAACTATTTATAGTGAATCTAGTGGCTAGAGTTGAATTGAATCAAACCTTCAGTGTGTGACGAAGAGAGGATATTAAGAGAAATAGTAAGTGGAGATTCTCCGATAAAAGCCTGATGAGAGGAGCCCCCATCAATTCCTTTGAGTTTCGGTCTTGCGACCGTACTCCTCGGGCAGAGTGTTTCACGCGTTAGCTAGGTCTCTGATCCACGTAAACCAAGGACGAACGCTCATCGTTTACGGCATGGACTACCAGGGTATCTAATCTCGTTCGCTCCCCATGCTTTCGCACCTTTAAGTCCGACAGTCCGATTTGGAGAGGCGGGATATCTCGACCGTAAACACAAACTAAGATTTAATAATGTCTGTGCAACGTAATAAGATTTTTATTTAATTAGTTAAAAATTTAGAAGCTAAATTTGTAATTTGGGGGAGAGAGAGGACATTTATGTAGTCGGGTCGGGTAACGTGGTGGGCCGACGTGGTGACCCGAAAGATCATATAAATGTCGCCGTCCTCTGCACGCGATCTATCCGCTGCACAACTAAAACTCCGTCTCTTATTTATTTATTGTTTTCGTATTTAATTAAATAAATAAAAAATAAAAAACAAACAAAAACAAGAAAGAAGAAGAGAGAGAAAAACGTTCGTCTGGTTCTGACGAACCATCTTGCCGAAATCAGAATTTTCATACGCTCTTCTCTTCCTTTCTGAAACCCTAGAACAGACAAATTCCAATTCCATTTTGATCCATCGGAGACTGCATATCCGCCGCCGTGTCCCACCACCATCACCGTCGCCGCCGCCCCACACTTCTACTCCAACCATTTGATCACTTCATCGACCTCTGAAATTCACTATCAACTTCGTTTCTCTTCCCTCTAAATTTTGGAGATTTTGTTGATTTCCGAGATGACGACTCTGAAGCTAATTCACCCACCGTCATCGGCCTTCTGAGTGCCTTCCAGGTGAAGCCTAGTTATTTAACTTTGTAGGTTCTTTTGTAGCTGGCTTTAATTTTTGATTCTTAATTATGCTCGGATTATCTGGAACTTGTATTTTTTACTTACGTAGTATTGTTTACTTCAATGATATGTTATTCCATGGAAGCTGGAAAACGGTTTTTTAAGTGCATGGATCATATATTCCCAATTTTTGTTGCTATATGATTTGGAGCGTTATTTGTGACTTAAAATCAATTACGTGTTATATCTTAACATACACAGAATAATAAATTTGTGCTGAATTTTAGAGATGGGTTCTACTGGATTAGTTGTTGGAGTGTTGATCAGCTGCCTTGTTAAAATCCCATCTTGTTTTTTTTTTTCTATGAAGTTGCTGAAATATAATGTAATTTTTCGCAGAAAGGTTCTCCAAGCTGTATCTATCCTCATCATGTATCATGCTAAGAAATTTTCAACTGCGAGCTTAGTGCCACACAAATCTCAAGGTGCTGAACAAGGTGCGAGTGTTGCGGTTCTTGGTGGATCTTCAGCCAAAAGTTCAATGCCACCTGGAGGAGGTGGAAAACAACGCTTGCGATGGACATCAGATCTTCATGATCGATTTGTCGACGCCATCACACAGCTCGGTGGACCAGATAGTGGGTATTTTCTTTAAAGTAATGTTATTATGCATTTGCTTTCATATTAATTTTCAGGATTAGAACAGGGGAAATTTTTTATGAAGCCATGCATCGATTTCTTCCCAGTATTAGGTTGGTTAAATGTGGTTATATATATATATATTTTTTAACGAGTTCATGGGGTTTCAAATGAAGTAGTGTAATAGAAAAGTATGGAAGGGTTAAAGATCATGCCATAAGTTTGATTATCTCAACAAAAGTGTCTATAAGGTGGAGTTGATGTACATATAGTCTTGAATATTAAATGTGGTTCTTTGGTCCTATGTCGCCCTCGTATATGCCTATACTTTTGGGTGATGTACCCATGATGTACTCATGATGTGTGCTAACGGGTCAGCACACTCGTATATACCTATACTTTTGGGTCTGTAAGAGCCAAAAAAATCATGAATTAGAAAAACAAAGGATTGAATTCTTACATTCTCATATTACTTAGATCCCCAGGGGGTTGAAAAGCATTCTCATAGGTCAGTTATTATTAAGTATTATTAGTATTTGAGGAGTTTTAGACATGGTTGTTTTCTCGATTTTGGACAAAGTATAAAGTCAAGGGAAAATATTTGAGAGAGAACCATTACCCTTCAACTGGTCTTCCTAAAATTTGGTATTGCAACTATTCCTAAATGATGTGACTCTTGAAGCCAAGAAATAATTTAGTTTGAGAATGTCCCTCACAATCCCCTGGTGGTATTTCAGAGGATCAATAACTACCCTCACCTTGAGGATTCCACATTTAGCAGCCACCGCACTTCTCCAAAAGGGCATCTTTTATAGCAAGTCTCCAAAGCCGCCTACTTTGCAGGAGGGAAATCTTGTTGAGAAGGTTGCCAAGGCCAAACTTCATGAGAGAACGGGTAGGTTCATCTTTCTCCAAGCTATCAAAATGGGCAAATAAGAGAGAAAGGATGTTGGGGAGAAATGAGAGAGGGAGAGAAGTTTCCAAGAGAGAGAAACGGGTGATATTGAATAGAGAGGAGAGGTAGAAGAGAACTCCCAAAAAGAGAGAGAAGCGGGCGGTATTAAATAGAAAGAAAGAGAAGTTGCTTAGAGTGAGAAAAGGGTGATATAGAAAGAGAGAGGAGAGCAAGGAGGGTGGGATATAAGCTGTGCGTAAATAAACAATATTAATATTTCCACGTCAGATTATACACCCAGTCCACTTTATATATAGTCAACTAATAGTCAAAGTGCTCCAAGACAAAGCAACTGTTTATTGTAGGGTTTAAAATGTCCGTTTGGGAAATATAGTGGGCAGACAGAAAGGAATCTTTAGAACTTGAGGACACAATTGTACAACCTGTTGAACAGATCCTGTTCGAGCAAGGTCATGACCACAACAATCTCAAAACTATATGAATTAAAGGGTGTTTTTCCTTTTTCTGTTTTTGTGCCCCCCAAAAAAATGTTGCATGTATCTACGTAATATGCCCCCAACTATTTTTTTTTGGGGGGGGGGGGGGGGGGGGGGG